AGCCCTACTAGTCAGCCACTATCCCTCATAAACTTCCATTTCAGATAAACTGTTTGGTATGATAAAATTATAACAAACTTCTTTTGTAAAGGTCAACGGAGCGCAGACACTTCTGTATTCATGTTGTTGACTTCTTTTTAACCTCCCTATATGACTTTGCGTCAATCGGACATATTGATATCATCATACGTTACAAAGCAAGGTTGTTATTCGTTCCGCATACATGCACACAAGATGTGAAAAGTTCACTTATCACGGTGTGATCACCAAAACAATTCATTTCAGCTACCGTATTTTCGAAAAATATATATTTATAAAAGGGACATGCCCCAGCTACAAATCACTTTTAAAATGTAATGTAGATTATTTTCTCTGATCTGGGAAGGAAAATCATGTTCTTGATATTCTAAAAATGAATACACTTTGCATTTAAAGCAATAACGATACATGTAGATACCAACCGACAGCACATTGGACAGTTTCATTGGAAGAACGTAATGCCTTTTGTCAGCTCTCTGAATAAAATTATCGGATGAAATACTCCCATAAAGGGACATTCTGCCACGTGTCACTGACGATACAGGTATCTTAATGTTCAGCGATTAGCAAAGGAACGATGCAATAATCTTCCACACACGAAACAAAGTATCTGTTCAGCCTAGGTAGACTTCTTTTAAATGTTTCATCTTTAAAATGACATATACAAATATTTAATTTGTATTGCACTTAAAAACAAACTGAATGTGTGCTGTTGTTTGAAAAGTGTTTTATAGAAGGGTTGTTATTACAATTCTGAAGCAAGTGATCATTTGACATCTTCAAATTTGATAAAAGACCCTGCTCCTAATTATGATGGTTAGATTGTAAAATATATAATTAACAACCATAAAAACACTTCATTGAGGAAATGAGATTGTGATGAATATTGTGTTGCGGAAGAAAGTTTCAAAATAGCGATATATTTGGTTAAAGGAGTAATTGCTTAAACCTGGGTCATATAAATAAATAAAATAAATAAATAAATAAACATACAACATTTGATATAGCGCCCTATCTAGCTAACATAAGCCACTCTAAAGCGCTTTACAGTACATAGATATACAATTTTATACAGTCAATACAATTAGCATATATATATTAATCAATACAATATTGAGGAATTCGCAGGAGCTGCCTTATAAGGCGCTAACTACTAGTCCTATGCCACTGGCTAATATCTCCCTATGTGTGTATGCCTGTGTGTGTATGTTCGAGATGTATTGTGTTCTGTTTGTAGTGGGACCATGTTTCCAACGGTATCATTTACAGTGCCACCTCACTTGAATGCTACAGCACAGATACCGCAACACCCACCCCAGACCATTGTATACTCCAACTGGGTTGTTGTAGTTGTGTGGGCAGGAGAAAAACACTTTCTCTCAATATCCCAAGCGTACGGCGACTTCGGGGATCGAACACCGGCCGCCTGCTTGGAAGCCTGGAGTGTTAACCACTCGACCAATCCGCCCATACATACAAGTATCATATTAATAATTCCTCATTCATAGTTTTCTTCATAATTTAATGTCTATTTTCTTTATTCTACTTATATGATACACTTTTTTAGATACAAATTTTAATCGTCAAAGAATCGGCCTAAGCTATGATAAGTAATGGGTACAACTAAAATCACGCCTTGCAAAGAACAAAGACCTGACATTAGTATTTACGTGAGGATGATACGTGTATTTTTATACCGTATAAACATACCTCATTTTCAAGGAGAAGGGAATCCTTTCGAATTAAGACGCAAAGTCGCCACATGTCTACTGAAGTTAATCATCTTTGATAAGGTAAAGTGATTTTTTTTATAGACATTGCAATATGAACGTCGCATTTAGTTACTTGTTGTTGGTATTAGTATCATAGTTAAAAAAACGGACCTCTAAAGTAAGGTTACAAGGATATTCGTAAGAATGACTATACTAGAAGCATACATTTTTTAGCATAGAGTAAAGTATTCATATATAAACTATGGACATCGTTACAAATATTATGTTATTTGTTGTATTTTAAAGACCAAGTAGATGAGATTACCAAACACTTTGGAAATGTCACCTGTCATTTCTATATACAGTTAACAAATATGGTCGGGTGGAAAGTTGCGCTTTTAAAGTATCGTCCCTTTCAAAAAAAACAACCTATCTATTTCATTTATGGTTCTACCCTATAAACGTAGAGCTGAATTCACGCTGAGTCATTTTGAGTGTAACCGAGCAGGGTAGTTTCCGTGCCATCGATATGTGAAGAATTTGTTTAGGGCATACATCTATGATCAACGAACCAATGAAAGTAGAACAAAGCGGAGAGACCAAACAAATATCGTACGATATTCATAAGTGACGCTATTCATGTGTAAAAAATGTGGAAACAAATTACGAGTTAGAGTGGCCCCCGTCTCAAGGATATTGAATTGTTAAGAACAACAAATTTAAAATGAATAAACAATAATAACAATTTTCGACCCGTCGAATATTTACGTATAAAAAGATACTTATCATTATTCGGATGAAATCCTATCGTGCGTATGATAACACTGTATATAATTCGATTGAAAACAATGTCTTACTGCCAAATCACTCATTTTCGTGGGGTTTTTAATTTCGTTTTGTGAGTACTCTACACCTCCCAATTTATATGTTTACGATGTAAATACAGGTTGATTATGAAGATTTTTTTTCAATTGAGTGGTAGCCTGCCAGCGATTTGGATATTGCTGTTAATTTTCTGGGTACTAGTATTCCAATTATTAATGTACCAATGCTTTTGGAAAATATCACAATATTAGGGCACCACGAACATATCTGATCACACAGAACTTTGCGGAATGATTTTAACGTAAAACTGAGTAGAACAGAGAACGCCTGATAGAAAATCCGTGATGCTTTCCTCACTTTCACGTTGAACCGGAACTCATTGCAGAACAATTTGTTTTCTTTACTTACCC